GGCCTTATATAGAGCTGTCGCGCCTCTCACGCGCCTAACCAGCCGATGTGGGATTAAAAACCAAACGGTGAAATTGGGAGTTCTTCTTTGATCACTGGGCTTACGTGATGCTAGTTCCTATGGGTTTTCTTTTTTACTCTCTGCTTTCTTTTTTTAAGGCAGATGTAAGTATTTACGACATCATAAAAGAGGGCTTTTTATAATAATAATAAAAAATTATAGAGAAATGGAGACTGTTCCTGGATGTTTCTTTTCTGTTTGAACAATGGTTGTGGTAGCTAAAACATCTAAGCTTCTTGGTAAAAGGTGGGGGAAAACTACAATAAATACTGTCATTGAATTTATGATGACTGTGAAATTCAATTTTGAAAATTACTATTTCTCTGCTAATATGGAAAACACAAAACCCTTAAAAATGAGCTATAATCACATAAATTGCCAAAAAAACCACCAAAAAGCAATTCAGAATATTGGTTGAGCATATTGATCAAATCAATTTAGCAATGCCTCCTTGGACATAAAATCCAAAGAAATATAAGAAGCCGGGTCTATCATAGAACTCTCCCTTTTGGCTGGTTTGTTAACGTAGCATTTTATTCGTATCCGTAGTACAACAACAAACAGAGAAAGTGAGGACTAGTCTGTGCCCATAGTGTTGGATTATTATTTATTCCCATATTGAAAGATTTTGTAATTTTAGATCAAGTTTCAAACTTATATTTTTATAAAATAAACTAGTAAACCAGTTAGTAGTTTTTTTTTAATAAATAAATATGATAGGTTCAAGGCAAGAGGCAAGCCTAAAATACTAACTATTGTATCCTCTTAACACACGTTTGGTAGCTTTGAATTATAATAATCTACTTGGTGTATAATCCACAAATGAATTATAAGCTAGTGGATTATAAGTCAAAGTATTCGGTAAATTTAGCCGTTTGGTTGGTTTCCTAAAAACCAAGAAAAGGAAATCGGTACAAGAAAACCAATAAAATAATATTTTTATCCATTTCTATCCCTAAAACCCACCCACAACATCCAATAAAATAATATTTTTATCCTCCAACTCATATCATTTCATCTCATTTCTTACCTTTAAAAATAAACCAAACACAAGAAATGTGTCACATCATCCAACTCATCACATCTCATCTTATCTCTTTTTTAAAAATCACACACATCATCCAATAATATTGTGACAACTCATCTCATCTCATTAAACCTTCCTTTCCATCCATTTCCTAAAAAAAAAACAAGAAATTGATTTCCTTAAGTATGTGTCACGTCATCCAATAATATACCTTCAACTCATCTCATCTCATCTATTTTTTTTATTTTTAAAAATGAACCAAACACAAACAACCTCAAAACTGTTGGGAATTTTAACGCCTAAATCCCCTAATGCAACGGAAACGCGGTATAGAGAACAGTACACCAAGATCCCCTAATGCAACGGAAACGCGGTATAGAGAACAGTACACCAAGATTTACGAGGTTCGGCAACTGCCTACGTCCTCGGGAGCCACACAGATAATTTCTTATTTAATCTAACAAGAAATTACAGGTCAAGAGCAAATCCCTAAACTGGGATTCCTCAAACAAACACTGTAGCTACAGTGTTAATCCCCACAATAAAATAAACCCTCTTCTCTTTTCTCTCTCTTCCTCTCCTTAAATCCCCCCTTCAATCACTGTTGAAAAGCTGGGGTTAATTAGAAAATCGCTGCTGCGATTTTGAGAGAAGAAACGCTGCTGCGTTTAGGGCTCCGCCGCCAAGAAAACAGGGGGGAAGAAGCACAGAGACTAGGGCATCAGGGGGCTTCTATTTATAGCCGGAAATTGGACAGGCTGGCGACAGCCTGTTGCCAGCGCCTCGCTCGGACGCGGAGGTGGGAACTTCAGACGCGGAGGTGGGAGGCCAGTGACGCGATGGTCGTCGTCGCCTGACGCGAAGGTCGGAGAGCTCTGAACGCGGGGGTCGGACCTGAGGGTCGCGTTCGCCCCAAACCACCATCGAGTTCGCCAAGCTCGAGCTCGCCTGGGGGGTTCGCCGCCGACTTTGCCACGCTCGCCTGCGTCTTCCTGGAGCTCGTCGGAGCTTCGCCGGAGCTCCTCATCGTCGTTGGAGGTTGGTATCCACCCTCAACCTAACAAAAACATCATCCAATAATATACCTCCAATTCATTTCCTTATTTTTTTAACCAACCAAACAACCTCAAAACAAGTTTTTTTTAAAAATCACTCACATCATCCAATAATAAGGTGACAACTCATCTCATCTCATATCCTATTATATAGTTTTCTTCTTTTTAAGCCAACCAAACAACCTCAAAACAATTATTATAGGAAATAGGTTTCCTATTCTTTGATTTCCCAATATTTTTTTGCGAAACGAACAACCCCTTTAGTGGATTATGATACATGTCCAATAGTGGAGTGTTTGGCAAATGAGTAGCTTTTAAGTCATCATTATTGTCTTAAAGGTGAAGATTTTATTGGGAACATGTGCAAAAATTTCAAAGACCAGCAAATAAAGGAATGTACAACTTGAGTGCAATTCCTATCAGAACACTCCCATCATGCGGCGTGTTCTGATAAGTTGGGGGGTTGGGGGGAGTAAAATATCGACACCGTCTTCCTACTATGTGCATTGTGTTGTTGAGAATGCCCTGCACTATGTGGGACGTTCTGATATGATGCGACTCCAAAATGTTATGGTCTAATGACAGGTGTTGTAGGATCGAGCTTGGTGGTACTAAGGTTTGGTTGAAAAAACTCGCATAGAGTTTATATATATAGGCCAGAGGTTCAAATTCTTTCTTGCCTAGATTAGAAAGAGTTGAAGCTAGACCGTGCTCAACTCTACATAATGTAATATTAGAAGCTATTTGGCTCATCAATTGTATTTTGATGCATGTCAGGAATCTAGAAAAAAAATCATACTTTAAGTTGAGAATATGTGACTAAAATTATAAATTTGGATAAAATTAATAAAATTTTAGGGAATCACAATTAATGCATCTGTCTTATGTGGCAATTCCAAATCCATGACATGAAAAATTAACAAACAAACAATGTAATAGGGGCTCTTAATTTCTATAAGAACCTGAAAATAAAATAGTACAAGATTTTAAAGTGACAGCTTAACCCCTTCACTACAATGTTAATAAATTTAACTTAGATAAAACCTATGGGTCAGCTCTTTATAATTAGAACAAGTTATAATTTAGAGTCTGTTGGTTTACACAAATTAGACAAAAATAATCTAATTTGTTTTAATTTACTTTTGAGCATCTAGACTTGATCTAGTTGTTGACCAAGGGGGTTGGTCCACAACTAAGAGCATGTTGAAAACTCATCGAAGTGGCTTATTTAACATGTTTTGTAAGTAGCTTGTTTTGGCTTATGAGCCATCAAAAAACAAGTCGGTTATTTTTTGTGGCTTCATAAGCCACAAAGTGACCAAGTAAATGACCGATGTACCTCTGATCATTTCAAAAAAATCCAAAATCCATAAATATTTTTAATTAATTTGGCAATAGCAATAGCTTATAAATCTATTTGCCAAATATTCTACTATTAAAAATGGATTATGATCCACTGAATCACTTTGGCTTTTAAGCAAAGTAAATTATAATTCAAAGTTACCAAACATACTCTAAACCAATTCACCCCCATAACCATTTTAACAATCAAATAGGACCACCACACACAAGTGTGTGAAATTAATTGCCTAAAGAGGTGTTTGGATGGAGGGTAGAGAAGGGAATGAGAAAAAAAAATTTGAGTTTAACCTTGTTTGGGAGTGTTATTGGGAAGGTAGAGGAGGGAAAAGTGGGAAAATTTTAGGCTAAAATCCTATACCCCAAATCGGGCGTTAAAGGAGGGGAAGGGAAAATTGACAATTTCCCTTCCCTTCCCTATCGTTCTTTCCCTTCCCTTTGTAAGCTCCCAGACAGACTATAAAACTAGCCATCTCATCCTCGTTAGGAGAAAAAAACTCAAGAAATTCATATTTATTGAATAAATTACAAAATACAAAATATCTATGTTGAATTAATTCTCAGAAAGAGCATCAACCAAATAAAAAAGAGAATAGTTATTTACATATACTAGTATTAAGTTTGTGCATTGCTACGGGTATTATTTATCAAGGTATATCTGCCGTCAAATTGATAATATAGTTTTTATATATATCTATTTATAAAAATTTCAACATTAATTTTTTACTATTATTTACAAAGTGAAATTTCAAACTAGTTAACAAAATAATACACAAATTAGCAATTTTATTAATTTTCTATAATAGAGTCAGGAAAGGTTTATATTTATGAAATGTACTGTAAAGGTTAAATTCATCATTTGCAAGAAAAAAAAGAAATGAACACTATTTCAAGGCATAAAAAAATTTTACTTTAGCTTGAACAGTGGATGAAGGACTAAAAATTTCATGGTTCTATATAAAGCATGCCTAAGATTCGAAAATTACAGTGTATATAAACATTGTTTATGGGGAAAAAAAATCATTCCAATGCGTACAACATGGCTAAGGCTGAAAAGTTTACTATAGGATGAACAGTACTTGAATATCAAATTTTGGGTTTTTCTTTTAAGTTATGAGCAGTAGATAGTTATTAAATCATGAGTATTTATAAAATTACTCATGAAATATTAATATTTGCAGAACTATATCTTAAATCATCAATATTGAAAAAAAAAACCCATATCAACCAATCATCAACCTTGATAGGCTATTTTTAACTTCAATGTAAAAAAATATCAAAAAATAACAGTAAAAAAAATTTGTTAGGCTAAAGAAAGTCAATTTTTTTTTGCTTATTGAGATGATACTTTGTTAATTTTAGGGGTATGTGAAGGTTGATGCTTCGAGTGTGATTTTGCAAATACTGAAATTTAGGGGGTATTTCTGCCAACATTCCGGATTTTAGGGTATACGTACAAATGATCCGGAAGAAACACGACAACAGCCATTGCGTCGGGACCGAGGAGTCAGCAACGTCTATCGATCACCGCCCATAAATACCGGCACCTAGCAATTTATTTTGTTTTCGGCCGACATAAAAAACAATAATAATAAGAGAGAAAAAAACGATAAAGGAGCAGAGAGGCAATGGAGAAGGAATCAGCAGAGAAGAGGAGAGTTTGTGTGACGGGCGCAGGAGGCTTCATCGCTTCATGGCTCGTCAAGCTCCTCCTCTCCAAAGGCTACATGGTTCATGGAACTGTCAGAGACCCAAGTAACCAATTTCTCTTCTTTTTGTTTTGAAATTTTCTTTGATGGGCTTCTAGTAGTTTCGTTGCGGATTGCTGGCACGCATGTAAATATTTTGTGGGGTTTTCCCAGGAATTGCAATTTTAGTTAGATAGTGTGACCTTGATGCATGTTAGTGTACATTTGAGGCTAAGAACTTGGGTATTAACTATCTGAGGAAATTGGGTCTAGGGCTTCTTTTAATTTTACCTCTTCTTGTTGTATCATGATTTTTTAGGTTCTTAAATCAGGAAAATCTTGCTAAGTACCAGTAGTGTGTTCTTTTTTATTATTATTAAATTTTTTCTTTTAAAAAAACCATCTTGGTTCCTTAAATCCAGTTTCTGCTGTAAGTGTCCATACAGGTCAAGTAGAAACTCAGGTATTGTGTTCCTTTGGTTCAATTTTTATTCAGATTGCCTGCCTCGATTCATATTTGAGACGAAATTTGTTCCATTTCCAATTTATAGTCAGCTAATTTCTGCCACAAAAATGGTTTCTAGGTGATGAAAAGAATGCTCACTTGAAGAATCTGGATGGAGCCTTAGAAAACCTGCAACTGTTTAAGGCAGACTTGCTCGACTACAATGCAGTGGCTGCTGCTATTGCAGGCTGTGAAGGGGTTTTCCACGTCGCTAGTCCTGTTCCTCCGACCAAAGTGCTCAATCCCGAGGCAATAATCCTACACATCTTGATTCCATAGCTTTTATTAGGATGAATTTCACACAATTAACATGGAATATTATTAGGGCTTTTTGCAGGAAGCTATCCTAAACTAGAAAATTTGTGTATATTTTTTCCGCACTAAACTACCATGTCTAGCTGCTCTAGTGGAAGTTGGCACATACTAATGCCGTTGTTGTCTGTTCTGTTGATTTCAATAAAATAATTTATGAGCACTTCCTGCAAAACTTCTTATAGTGTATGTTAGTTTTGCAAAGATATCCCTTCTTATTAGCACTTATCTGCTTGATAAAATACTCCAGTCTACCAACTTATGCATCTGATGCAAATATTTGTAGTTTTGATAGAAATTTAAATTTCAAAGACAGTTGATCTCATGTATCTGTACTAACGTGCCTTGGCCCATCAGATACCATTGAATCAGTTTCATATCTATTAAGCAAATTATGGAATTATGTCAAATTAAGAGGTAGCATGTTTTGTTTCATATGTTACTAGTTTTTTCTCGCATTAATTTGGGCTTTTTGAGAAAACAATACTGAATGCTATCTACTATCTTTATTAATATACTTTCGTCCTAAATCCGTTGGCCATGTTTAAAGTATAAATTTCTATTCTTTGATGTAATACATCAAGGAGTAGTCCCCTGTATCTTAGTAACTATCACATGTCAGGTAGGGGCATGTCGCTGCTCCTTAATCTCAGGTTGTGTTTGGCAACTCTAGAGAATCAGTTTTAGTGGATAGAAGTATGGTCCAAAAGCTAGTTTTTAGTTTGGCAAAACTTGGTCCACATATATGAACGAGTATTTTCAGTTCAAATTCTAGCCCTTAAACTAGTTTTCTTTTAGACCGTCCCCTACATGGACCTGACTTTAACATAATTAGGAAAACTAGTCCAAACCCAATCTTATTTTGGGATTGCCAAACACAACCTAACTAACATATTGATGGTTAATGAATAAGGTTATATCTTGTTGAAATGTACTAATCAACCCTACAACAAAGGTAAATGATGATCTTGTCTCTTATTCAATCAAAGCACCATCAGTTACATTGATTTTGTATTCATCTTGGTCTAACTTCGGAATTTTCAGGTAGAATTACTTGCTCCTGCTGTAGAGGGCACACTGATCGTGCTTAAAGTGTGTTCTGAGGTTAAAGTCAAAAGGGTTATTGTGGTTTCCTCGGTTGTTTCTGTTTTAATGAATCCAAAGTGGCCCAAAGACAAGGTTATGGATGAGGAATGTTGGTCAGACAGTGAGTATTGCAGGACAACTGAGGTAAATGTCATGTAATATTTAAGACTTTGTACACTTAGTGATATCTAGTAGCATTGTAGGGGGTTTGCTTACTTGCAACTTATTAAGAAGGTGTTTGGGATTAGGCCTGTCCATTTGGGCTTTAGCCTGGAAGGCGGGGCCCAGCAGGGTTCCAGGCCCAGGTCCGAGTCGTGTCACCGAAGCCCAACCCGGGCCTAACTGGCCTAGGTTCTGAGGGTCCGAGTAGAGAAACTCGGTTTTGGGTCGACCTGCGAGTTAGGGAGCCCAAACAGCTCCCTACGTAACTCATTGGAACCGGGTCGAGCTCAAAAGCCCGGCCTAGCCCGGTCCTAGCCCGATTCTAGCCGTTGGATCGAGCGGCCCAGACCCGGTCCGACCATTGCAATCGGGCGGCCCGGATCCGGCCTGGACCCGACCTGGATCCGGCCCGGTTTAGGTAGATCAAAATAGCAAAAATGGCTATATTTTGGTCAAACGAAAGAAAGAAAGAAAAAACCGGGCCGGCTCAGTACCCGGTCTACATCTACCCGGATCCGACCTGGACTGGGCCCTCCGGGCTCAAGTTTGGGTAGGGCTTTTTGCCCGGCTGGATCCAAAAATCTAGGCCGGACCAGGTTGGCTGGTCTGTTTGGACAGACCTATTTGGGAGAACTTTTTTTTGTTAAAGTAGCTTTTAAGTTAGATTTCCATACCTACATGTTTGGAAACATTCCAAATAAGCTAAGCTTTTAAGTCTGTTAGAAAATAAAATTATAATATCCAGTCCTCACTAGTCACCACAACTTCGGAGTCTTGGTATGTCAGGGTCCTTGGACATTG